TGAGTACATAGTGGGGGGGGGGGGTGGGGGGGGGGGTATTTCCTTTTCCAAATATTATAAATTAATTTGGAGTGAACAAGCTGATTAATATAATACATGTAATTATGCAACACACAAAATTAATTATTGGCCTAATACATACATTCATAAAGGACAACATGTTTGGCTTAGCTTAAAAGTAAAAGAAAAATAAGCCATTTTCCAGAAGAAGCAAAGCTGTATGTGCTCACAATTGATTGATCCTTAATCAAGTTCCAGTCCTACCACAGAGATTATTGTAGTTACAAGGGCGATTATTGAAATTTGTGTTCGGATCTCCAATACAACTACCGTATGCATCTCTCTTGCAGAAGGGCTTCGCCGGCTTAAAAGTTTCATAACTGATCGACGGATCTGGTTGAGCCAAAATCCTTCTGCTTATTTCTGACTCCATCAGAAACTCCTCATTTACCGGAATGCAATCTCCGATCGTGGAGCCATTGCACTTGGTGGCGCTAAAACATTCAATCGTTTCGCCGAGGATCGCAAGAATGCCCACTGTAAAGTAAAGGAAATTCATGTCTCTCTTCAGAGAAATCTCAACTAATACTGAAGATAATTTATAGATAAATTCATAGTGCCTGTTTGCCCCATTATTCCACTTTATAATAGGGCCAAACAGGGGTTCATAATGATGGATAGGAGCCCATAAATGAGCTGCCTGATTAGAAGGACATGATCACATGCTTTTAAAAATAGTATTTTAGTAGAAAATTAGTCTCTCAGTCTCTATCTTTTAAAATATAGAAAGTAAATCCTCACAATTCTCGTTATATTTGTTGCATAATCAGTCAGTCTCTAATTAGTAAAAGTTACTGAATATGTGTTGAATCGTTAAGTTGTCCTCGTATTTTTCATTTTAAATTTAAATTCATGGCTTGGATTAGTATTTAGAAATTCCAACTATGATATAAGTTTACGAGAATCACTTGACAATTTAATGAAGGTCTTGCCCTTGTTTGGTTTAGAGAAAATTACATTCTCATGGATTTTGATAAGAGTTGATGAAATGTGTTTTTTAAATCTGTGAATCTCATTAAATAGGTTTTTAATTAATTTTGACTTAGATTATAATAAAAAATTTTGGGCTGAACCAAATACGGTCTAGACTCTTTCTGTCGCCAAAGACATTCATGTGCAACTATAATGTAACTTGTGTAATCAACTTGATCCTTTCAAAAGTTAGAAACCAACTTTCTATTGAGGGAATAGGTTAAGGACCAAAGGTACAAAGAAAATTTCTTTTTCTGTTTCATTTTATTTAAATATCTCTAATCACCAGGTTATGTTTTGTTAATTAATATTTGGTTCTGTTGGTGCAGATGAATTCCACCTAAGAGACAGAATAGCCACTGTTTGGTGTGGGGTCCACTTTTTGTATTTGAATTTTTTTTTTTTTTTTAAAATAAAAAAAAAATTTATGATGTTGAAATTGAAGTTTTGGAATACTATACTTTCCTAGTATGGCCCATGGTCATTATTT